GATCAGTAATGAAAATTTCCAAAGCAAGTGATCTGTTTTTAATAATAAATAAATAGCCGTGACAGCATTTAGACACAGTGTGTAAGCTGCAAAATAATTTCATTCATTATCACACGATAAATAATTATATACAATAATGGAGGTATTTGTGATATGCTTCAAATTGATGGCATTCATTGTTATGCAGACGACAGCACGGGTGATGCCCTATATACCGGCCGCGTCAACATTTCACGGGAAAACGTCATCGAGTGCCGGAACAAACTTGTGTCTGAAGTCGAAACTTTGTTAAACCGAGTAACGAATTGGGGCCGACTTAATCTAGTCCAATTTAACCCTACAAAGACACAAGTATGCGCGTTCACCGCAAAAAAAATACCTTTTGTCGTATCTCCTCTTTTTGAGAACACTCCTCTAACTGCCTCAGCTAGTATTGGAATTCTTGGCGTTGACATATCGAGCGACGTCCAGTTTCGGGATCATTTAGAGGGCAAGGCCAAATTGACCTCTAAGAAGCTTGGTGTGCTCAATAGATCGAGAATGTACTTCACACCGGCCCACCGACTGCAGCTTTATAAGGCACAGGTTCGGCCTCACATGGAGTACTGCTCTCATCTTTGGGCGGGGGCACCCCAGTACCAGCTTCCCCCTTTGGATCGCATCCAGCGCCGAGCGGCTCGAATAGTCGACGACCAGGACCTTTCCGATCAGCTTGATCCTTTGGCTTTGCGTAGGGATGTAGCTTCGCTCTGCATCTTCTATCGCATTTATCACGAGGAGTGTTCTGAGGAATTGTTCGGATTAATTCCAGCTGCTGCATTTCGCCATCGTACATCGCGACAAAAATTTCATCCCCATCATCTTGATGCATGGCTATCCACAACCGTGCGTTTTTGTCGAAATTTTTTACCACGTACGACAAAACTGTGGAATATGTTGTCGCCAGCAGTGTTTCCGGACCGATACGACACAAAAACCTTCAAAAAAAGAGCGTACTCCTTCCTTAAAGGCCGGCATCGCATTTGTGATACTCCTTGTGTTGCAAGTGTCCATGGGCGACGATGATCACTTACCATCAGGTGAGCCGTCTGCTAGTATGCCCCCTATAACATAAAAAAAATGTAAAGTGTAATAAGCTGTTTGTATGTTTTATGAGTATTTGGTAAGTATAAAGTGTTATCATGTGACAAACCGAAAGTCAAACAATAAGTTAGGGACAGAAATCCATTACAGAATGATATATTAATACTATTTAAATTCCTTTGATTAATTATTAGGTAATTTTGCTCAAATCCTCCTCGCAAGATATCAGAATGTATGGCGATTTTTCGGCCTTCCTTGTATAAATTCGGCAGTTTTTTGTCCATACAAATTTATAATTGAAATCTTTAGCTTTCGCCTTGCAACTACTTAATAACTGTTTATTTTTTACAGTTAGATGTTCGTTAATATATATATTACTGGATTCGCCATCCATTCCAATATCCTTTGAGGTAATTTTACCACATTTACGTGAAGCTGACAAAACTGTATCCTTTTTATTTCGATTGTGAAAGCGAAGAACCAGATTACGTGGCTTTCCCTTGACTTTGTCTCTTCATCTGAACACGATGAACGAAACACAGGTCTTGGTGATTAATTGGCACGTCTATAAGTTTAGCGATACTATCGATTATGTCAGGCAGGGATTCCTCACTGGTCTCTGGTACGCCGGCAATCTCAATATTTTGCAGTCTTGACCACTGCTTTTGCTTTAATGACACCTCTTCCATACTATTTAGCTTACTTTGGAGCAATTTTATTTGATTATTGAGGTTATTAGTATCAGCCTGCAACTTCTTTGTAGTAGCTGTGCTTTTAACCACCGTGGTTTTAATAGAATCATACATATCGCTTACAGTTTTGACAGATTTTTCAAGATCAAGGAATTTGTTTTATAATGCTTTTGATACGGCCTCAGTAACTTTTTCCAAAAAGCTGGGTAACTCACGGCGAAACGCCAGCTCAAATTCAGCTCTTATGGCACCCAAGATATCATCCGACTTTTCATCTGCTGCACAGCTACTGTTGCTGCTTGCTGATCTCCGACGAGTACGAGTTTAAGTATTTACAAAGTCATCATTGCAGCTCATGGTTACTTTTACTGGTGTGTCGGTGTACTATAGAAATAGCACAGGCACTGCACTTCACAACCATTGTAAGGGCTATCTAGAAGCTGAGCTTTGATATACTTTGATTATTATCGCAGAAATAATATAAAAATTGATAAAATTAATTTCGACATTGAAATACGAACCGTTCGCCGTTTTTTTTTTTATAATTATATGAAGAGCCATTTTAGTCTACACTACAGCTCTACACCGAAGCGAAGCGAGGGCGGGCCACTAGTTTTCTAATAATTAGCTACATTATTATTTCAAACTAAAGTATTTGCACCTTCTTTAAATTGCCCCCTATTTTATTACGTTCATGAAAAAAGTAAAAATACATCATCTCTATCAATCGTCAAATTTCGTCTCGGACAATAATAAAACATAAAGAGTGATTGACAATTGCATTTTTATTTATTATAGTCGGGGCACGCTATGATGGCCGTTTTGACACATTACAATAGTGCCATGGAAAGTAAATTTCGTACAGAAAAAATAATAATAATCAAATGTGGGTCTCATATTATATTTTATCTTAGCGTAAAGGTATCTTATGATATTCTAACTAAAGCTATATTAACTGAACTTTATTTGATGGATTATTAGTTACATACTTACTTACATAAATCGTTATAATTTTAATGTAGTTATCTTTTTTAAGAAGGAAGTTTGTGTCAAATTGTTATAAAGAATAATGGAGTAGCCTTCGCAGCTCATTTATTTCCCATTGAAGACGCCAATGAAGAGCACTATATGTTGTTTGTGGAGTAGCAAGTACAGGAACGGCCGGTTAGCGCGGAACGCGAACGAGGAACTGCACAACTTCCTTAAATAGTTGCCTGGGGACATACATATCTTTTGAAGCTTTTACTCTCCAAAAACATTAACATTAGCTAGCTTGGATTCGAAGGAGTCGGCAATTTTCGAAATATTATTATAGAGAGAATATTTACTAAAAAAAGAAATATTAAGTAATTAATAAAGAGATAAATAAATATTTCCAACATTCACACCAATTAGCCTAGCCCCAAAGTAAGCACTGTTTACATATACTGTACATATATAAGTGTATTTATATAGAAATATATATCTGCCCCCACCGGGATTCGAATCCGGGACCTCTCGAGTCGGCGACACCATGAAACCCGGCGTACAAACCACTCGACCACGGAGGTCGTTGATATTTGAGAACCTACAATGACTTAAGATTTCTTTTTAGATTTCGAAATAATCGTGTCAGAATTGACACCATTGGTGTCTTTTTTTAGTAAATATTCTTGGCGCAAGTGGTTAGCGCGTTCGGCTGCGGTCGTTGGAGTTAAGCAACTTTCGCAGTGGTCGGTCATTGGATGGGTGACCAAAAATTTACGATCTCGAGCTCCTCCGTGCTTCGGAAGGCCGGTTAAGCCGTTGGTCCCGGCTGCATCTGCAGTCGTTAGCGCCCACCAATCCGCACTGGGCCCGCGTGGTGGGCCATGGCCCAATCTCCCTATTCCATCCATAGGGAAGGCCTGTGCCCCAGCAGTGGGGACATTAATAGGCTGATGATGATGATTCTCTTTATAATAATATTTCGAAACAATTCAAGAGCTCGGATTCAGTCATCTCGGTACTGCGATTCAGCGTCAGAATGATAGGCAGTCTGGAAAGAGATGTAGCGAAATAGTACAGTCAATCTGTAGGTTGAGGGTTGAAAAAAAAACCTAAAGGGTAAGTCTTGTTTTTTCTGTTGCCAAATGACGTCAGTAAGCCACCTTGGCGATGGGCATGTTCAACTCGTAGGCGTTTTTTTAAAAACGCAAAAAAACCGTCAAAAATTTTTTGAAACGCATTTTTCTTATTTTGTATGCATTTTAGAAACTTTTTTTTTACCATAATTGTAGAGGGCGTTGAGTACTATAATTTATGTCAATGTTGCAATCTCGTACAACAAAAAATGCGCATTGTAGGTGGCGCTGAAGTCTCAAAAAAGTGTTTTTTCACTTTTTCACCCTGAAAATATCATTTTAATGGAAAACTTTAAATGGCAAAGTTGTTTCGTACATAATTACCAACAACTTTTGTATAAACAATTTTTTTGTATTACTTACCGTTTTCAAGTTATAAATTGCGCAGGTATGAAAAATCCAATAGAGCGGTTTTGGGCAGTTCAAGTACACATTTGCAGTGCACATTTCAATGTACGTTTTTACTATTTTTTTTTCAATCATGAAAAACAATAAAAATAAAACTATTTTTTTTTTATTTTTCTTTGTTTTTCAATCATGAAAAAGAATAAAAAATAGTAAAACGTCCATTGAAATGTGCACTGCAAATGTGTACGTGAACTGCCCAAAACCGCTCTATTGGATTTTTCATACCTGCGCAATTTATAACTTGAAAACGGTAAGTAATACAAAAAAATTATTTATACAAAAGTTGTTGGTAATTATGTACGAAACAACTTTGCCATTTAAAGTTTTCCATTAAAATGATATTTTCAGGGTGAATAAGTGAAAAAACACTTTTTTGAGACTTTAGCGCCACCTACAATGCGCATTTTTTGTTGTACGAGATTGCAACAATGACATAAATTGTAGCACTCAACACCCTCTACAATTATGGTCGAAAAAAAAGTTTCTAAAATGCATACAAAACAAGAAAAATGCGTTTCAAAAAATTTTTGATGGGTTTTTTGAGTTTTTCAAAAAACGCCTACGAGTTGAACATGCCCATCGCCAAGGTGGCTTACTGACGTCATTTGGCAACAGAAAAAACAAGACTTACCCTTTAGGTTTTTTTTTCACTGAAACGATATTTTTTTCACTGAAACGATATTTTTTTCGACAGATTGACTGTACTAAAAGTAACGCAGATCTTCACGTACAACACCTAGGTACCTATATGGTTCGCATTTGTTTGTGGATTGTATGGGAGGAACTAGAAATGATCTCGAATCGTTTCCAAAAAAAATATCATTAAACGATTCGACATACAGGTTGGCGGGTGTCGTTCATTTTCGTCCAGGTCGAACACTGACAATGGCAGGTCACTACACTGCTTTTGCTAGATATGGCGATGACTGGATATTTTTCGATGACTTATGTAATATGCCTAAATATATAACCAAAAGTGAAAAAATCAATCCAGCTCTGTGTATTTACGTCGCAACATAAGTTTGAGTAATATAAATTACTATTGCTCCACTTCCGTACGTCGCAAATTAGCGAGCGCCTCATTTCTTTTTCGATTTTTCCACATCTCTACGCATTGTATTCATTACAGGTGTAAAGTTGTGGGTGTTCTGAGTACGTGCATCTAGTAAAAAAAATAAAAACAAAAAATAAAAAAAAGCCAAAAAAATACAAACAGAAATCCAAAAAAAATATAATATCAAATTTAAAAAAGGGAAAAAATGAGCAAGCGCCTTTTTGCCTTTTTCGTTATTCCACATCTGCTCGAATTATATTCATTATATAAAATCGTACATTTTATATAATAAATAAAAGTTTTTTTTGCCCGACAGCTTCAATTTTAGTTTTTTCAAATAATAATTTCGAACAATGTTAGGAAAAACTAGAACAACTTGGAATAACTAAAAAAATATTGAATTTCCAAACATGGGGACTATCTGAAAAACGGTTTTTTTGTCTCACAGCGTCAAATTTGAGTTTTTTCAAATAATACTTTGGAACAATATTAAGAACACCTAGAACAACTTGGAACAACTAAAAAAATACTGAATTTCCAAACATGGGGGGCTACCATAGAAAAAAGTTTTTCTTGTGTGGCAGCTTCAAATTTTAGTTTTTTCCAAATAATACTTTGGAACAATGTAGAACAAACATAGAACAACCCAGAACAACCTGGATAATAATAAAATTCAAAAAGTGGGGGGCTAACTTCGCAGAGGTGCCATATTGCCAAAAAACGTTGGGCTTAATTACTGATTTAGGCGGAATAAATACTGTTTAAAATTTGTCTTTTCTTCTTCTTCTTTTTGTTTGTTTATACAGGCAAACTAACGAGCTAGCAATCCACCTGATGGTAAGTGGTCATTGCCGCCTATGGAAGAATAACACTCATGGTCGGCTCTGAAAAAAAAGTAAAATCCTATTTCTACTATTATTGTAGAGTTCCGTGGATTTTGGTGGAACTCAAATATACTTCATACGTAACGTTCCAACAAAATAAAGCACATTGCAATAGAACCCTTTTTAGAATGACGTGAACGATATTAACGCTGCTGTCTCTTAGTGACATATTCGACGGCATGTTGCTGCGAACTTCCATAAATAAATGATTTAACCTCTATTTATGTGCTAAATTAAGTTTTCGCGATTTTTTTTAAAGTTATTATTTTGGTATAAATTATAAAATCACCTCTGGCAACCCTGGTTTATGCCCTAGACTACTGACAGCACCCACGTCGCTAGCGGTGATAGCGGCACAAACAGGCGCAGCTGCAGCAGCCCCATTTTGGACGAGTCGCACTCTTCGCGCCCCGGTTGGTGCCGGGGTGCAGACTTTACTCGATAGTTGTAAGGTCGGTTTATAACGAATCAAACCATGCCGTTTATAACCAAAGTTTTGGTTTAAAACGGAGTTTTAGGGTTTTAATGGTTAGAGAAAGTGTTTTTTTTATATGAACTCAGAATGCATTACATTATCAAATTCGCCATGCAACGGAGTACCAAACTGTGTATTTTCATGTTTGTTAGATTTTTTACTAATAATTATTAGAAGTGAAAAGTAATGAAAAAAATGCCAACCCCAGGATGTTAATGTCCCCACTGCTGGGGCACAGGCCTTCCCTATAGGTGGAATAGGGAGATTGGGCCGTGACCCATCACGCGGGCCCAGTGCGGATTGCACTGGGCCCGCAATTGCATTAGCACCCTAACGACTACAGATGCAGCCGGGAATAACGTGCCTTCCGAAGCACGGGGGAGCTCGAGATAACAAGTTTTTGGTCACCCATCCAAAAATACTGTAGTAAAAAAATAACTATGAAACACAATTCCACCATAATAAACTACCGTTGTAAATTACAGTAGTAAAAGCAGTCGTTTTTACCACTCTTTTATGAATTAGGAATTAAAAGTTGTCAATTTTACGTGTATTATTGTTTGATCTGGGTCATTAATATGCCGCCTAAATACGTTTTATTTGACATCGAAAAAAATCCTTAGCAAAATTTTAACAGCCTTTTAGCAAATTTTATTTATTTGAATGGATAAACTTACAGCTATTTAAACAAAATTTGGTTTAAAAATATTAACAACTAAGCCATTAACAAGTTTTCACTTATAAATATTTTTTCGTATGAAGTGCGAAAAGAACAATTATTTAAAGTAACCAAAAATATAACGAGTAGTAATATTCTTTTTTACTTGTAAATATTTTATTTCAACAAATAAAACCATTCAAGTAACTAGCTTGGAAAATACGTTATTTTATGTCTTTACAATTCTAAATACATAACTCTCTATTGTCTCCGCAGTCGGATAGTACACCGTTTAAAACGGTGGCTTTCGGGTTTTAAACGTAACTGTTTTTTTTACAACTATGACGCCGCGAGCGGTGAGTGTGGTATACCTAAAGTTCCATAACAATGAAGTGTTGTTTCTATTGTACGTAAACAATACCAAACTACTTACCAGTAGCCGCGGCTGCCTTGACTCCGTCCTCGTTGACTTCGATGAAAGCCTTTTGAATGGCCTTCGAGACGTACAGAGGTTCGTCGGAATTCAATATTTTTGTCAACCCAGAGTTATTCTCATCGAAAATCTGCGCGATGCCGATCTGTAAATGGAATGAAAAAAATATCATAGAAACGTTATCCCCAATATACCTACCTATCATGTAGACTATGATGATCAAGTTATTAAAGGATCTAGGAGTCTGGCTACTGCCCTACCTATACGATCTTCAGCGCAAGACCAATGAGAATTTGTTGGGCGGGGATTTTGTGATTTACTCGAGCGTGGCAGAATAAGGGGGGCAACCTTGCACCTTTTGAAGTACTCCCACCATACCTGACCCCTTTATAATGGGGCAAACGTCTAACGTCCCTTATGTTATTCTGCCGCGATCGAATAAATCTTTAAATTTGTAAGATTTAAAGATTTATTCGATTTTAAATTTGTATTTTGATTTCAATTCACACATGTATTCATCGCGGTGAAAAGTGAATTTGTTTTTACAGAATAGCACGGCAGTAAACAGCCCCTAGTATGAGCACGGCGATATATAGCTCGTTGCTATCACGCTCAATTGTAAAATTAGAGTTTGACAGCTGGACGCGATAAAAACGTGATATAGTGTCAATTGTGGTGCTCATGCTACGGGTACAGGACTTAAAATCAGGACTTACTTTAGGTAGTAGTACTCCTAAATCAATTTCTGTTTCAATTTTGAACCTTGGAATGGTGACCCGAACTTCCATAACGCTATTCTGTAATAGGTTGGCCGACAAGTCTTCTAGAAGATCATAACCTTCGGCTAGCTTCTGAAGCAAAGAATCAAGTCCATTCTTTTCTTCGGGTAGAATGATGACCATACTAGCTCCGTTGTTTTCATACGGCATTTCTAACAACTGAAATGAATAATAAACTCAATGGAAATGGGTCTTTCATTCTCTTTTCGTTACCATCTATATCAGGGATGTTACGGAGCTTCGACTGCAATTCCGATAAGGCGGCCTGCGTCGACCGTTACGAGCCTGGTTCATACCTGTCGCATTGGGAGTCTGTGTAAATAATAAGTAAATGTAAATGAAAAAGGGTTATTTTATAATTAAAATGAAAAAAAGTTGAAATGATGTTTTCATTTGTTCTTAGATGAAAAATATCTCTCTTGTGACCACTGCTGATTCTGCCGCTGACCCCAACTCTGCCTCCAACTCCAGTTCCGACTCCGATAAATCACATTTAAAAACTCCGACTGCGACTTAGGTTCCGATAAATATACCTCCGTTACATCCCTGATCTATATTATAGAAACAAAAGGAAAACATGAAACGCGCCAGCTACTGCAACTTTCCCGTACGTATGTTTAGTGCTAGACATTCACAATGTGGCTATGCCATCAAAATACTCAAAGAATGCCCATATTCCATAACGAAATGCAGTTTGCCATCCGATGTCTGTTTTTGTTGTGTGGCGATCGTTCATATGTTTAAAAATTCTGTTCTAAATGGTTGCTTAAGTCCTAATAGTAAGAGATGTGAAAAAGATTTCCTAACATCGTGCGTACCGTTAAGCGGGGCAAGGAGCGGGCGTCTGTCGATGTCGTGGAGATCCTCTCTCACTCTGTGCTCCGAAGCGGGACCCGTTCAACTCGTGGCGGGACCCGCGAGAGGACGGTGCTTCTCGCAGCGCCGCCAGTACAATTCATCACAGTATATTTGTTTCTTAGGTTTTCACGCACATCACTCAATAAATAAAACTAGTTTTTACGGGTTAATGCACGAAACTTTATTTAATTTAATTTGTCGAGCTACCTTCGACTTCGAAGGTAGCTCGACAAATTAAACAAAAGTTTGATTCTGACCGACGTAGCCTGTAAAGGCTACGAAACGTCAATAAATAAATAAAGTTTCGTGCATTAACCCGTAAAAACTAGTTTTATTCAGCACAGTATGTTTACTTACCTGGGCTTTCAACTCCTTAATAATACCGTATCGATAATTACTTTTCTTGTTCATCATAGGCACATCAACAGTCGTGGTAGGAGTGACGTAGAAGGGCTCATTCGTGGTTTTTATTGTATTGAATTTATTCTTCCAAGTGCCCTAAAATATATATATGGCGTGTTATTATATGACATTAATATTAAAATCATCTCAACACTCAATGTCAATCATCTACCTTGAAGTATATAGCATTAATAAGAACCAATCGAGTGTAGTGATTCAAAACATCGGCTGAAATGAGGTCTTTGATATGCTTCTTAGTCTTGTCTCCAACCTGAAAAGACGAAAATAGCTCGTTGTGTATAAGTGTTCCTACAAAGTTTTACGACGCATCTCGGACTCGAACATACCTTTATAAAAAGTTTTCATCTGACCAAGTTGTAGCTGACTTACGATAAACTTTAAATCAATTTGCAAACCTAGTATTTAATATCTCTATTGTAATTTTTATTATTTTGTGTTGTATAGAATAAACAACAGATTTGGTTCTTATGCATGTCGATAGATGTCGCTGTGCCAAGTTTCATTGCGATATGGTTTAGTAGTTTCTTAGGCTTTGTGTAAGGTTTTTTTTAAATTTATATAAATAATCTCTGCGTTGGGCATCAGTGTTTTTGTTCATAGATCTTCAGAGTCGAATACAGTGTTGAAATCAGCGACAGTGGCGCCATCTTGTGGAAATTACAAGACGAGCGGCAGTGAACAAAGGTTGTATGGGCGAATCAAGTTTATTCACTTTAATATTTGAAGAATTCGATCGAAAATAACCCTTATAACATAGGAAGATATTTAACTTCTGCTCTGACTGATGATCACCGAACTTTTTAGTGATCCACTGCTGCTTTATTAAAACGCCACTTAGATACTTGTTCTGAAAATGTCGATGGATATGCAATTTTCTCTTTAGTTATACACTGTAAATGTCAAAAAAGTTAGCGAATCGGCTGACAGATTTTTACTAAATCAAGGTCTTATGCGCGAACTACAACTGACGGAGAAAGAACAGCCATGCAATAATAAAATCAAAACACGATGTTTTGATGATACTTAGGTAGTTCCTTGATTTATTAGTGTTTACGCTCGAATAAAGACATGGAGTGAGTCACGATTTCTGTGTTTTTTAAACTCGCTTTTATTAGGTTCACTTGTATGTAACAAACTATGTAATGGAATGTAAGAATCTGAATTATACAAACTTCTAATTCTTGTATCATTATGAAACTTGGCAATAATATGTAGATGACATGACAATACAATATTATGGTACCATCGAGCTAGTCTGATGATGGAACTGGAAGGTGGGTGATCTAACCTTGGGCTGCCTACTACCTTGGGAGTTTGGGCTCATTAGATTCGCCTTAACACATTCTATTAATTTCTCCTGATGACGAGGACTTGACGATGAAGTGGAAGGTGCTAATGGATCCTGGACTGCCTACTAGTAAACAAATCGAGTTTGGGCTCATGAGATTCGTCTTAACATAATAAAACTTTGAAATTATATGTAGATCAGGTGACAATACAATATTATGGTACCATCGAGCTGGTCTGATGTTGGGACTGGAAGGTGGAGTGATATTAAGTTGGGCATCTACCGTGCACAAAATGCAAGGCTGTACGGATCACGCAGTGATATACTTAGGCCCCGTACTTTTGCGGCTGGACAGGCGTATGTGGCCCTAAGTAGAGAAAAATCACTTAGTGGTCTCCAGATTAAAGAGCTAGATTGTTCTAAGCTGTCTGGTAAAACACCATGCAATACAGACACACTGGCGGAAATGGAGAGGATGCGGACTCATTCGCCTACTTAAAACAAATGTATATATGTTAACTATATTTTGTTATCAAAGACTAAAAAGTATAAAATAAGTTTATAGTTTAGAAAAACACGCTTTTATAAATGCACGTAAAAACCAAATATAAATTATGGATAGTTTAAGTTGTCGCAATTTCTGGGCTGAAGTGTAAACTATGTGCTCTTAATTATTATATTTGATTATTTAAGCGTGGGGCGCTGGAAAAGGAAGGACTATTTGTATAACTTGCTGAGTAATTAAGTAAAGCGATGTTACGAGATGCAGGTTACATAGATTGGAATTCCAGTAACTGAGTTGCAGCACGACTAGTATCAACAGCCGATGTGCGAGTGTACGGTTATGAGCTCCCAACAACTCATAGCTAACAAACTGTTAGCATTGTGGTGTCCTTCATGTCCCGGGGCACCGCACGTCGGGGGGAGTCCGGAAACGGACAATTACCTTGCGGGTGTGCGGGCAGTCGAACAGGGTACCGCAACACTATCCACTGGGACTGCGGTCCTAGCAATGCGGATCTGGTGACACGGTGCAGGGATATTGTCTGGCTTTTAGTGGCCCTGTTCAGGGCTAGGTAGGTCACTTTTTTTTTTTATAACGCAGATAAAAAATCTTTTTACAGACGACGGCGCCTTTAAGAGGCACACCGCCGAACGGACCTCACACCTGGCTCCCGCAAGTCTTACGGACCCCCCAGTGGCTACCCACCGAGAACCGCGCAACTCTTACGGGCGCTTTACAGCATAATATCCGCTAAAAAAAGTCCTGCGAATACCTTCTACACTGCTTAGTGCGGAGCCGCGGGGTCCCCGTTAGGGATTCTACCAGCTCCGCCCCCAGCAGCTTCCCGGCCTCGCCGGGGCTCCACGGCAGGGGTCTCCCGCGGTATTACGGGGACCCCGCAGACGTGCGCAGGTAGGCCCGCGCGTGGGGGCTGGGTACGCGGCCTACTACCCCCCATCCGCTGCGGAGGGGACTCCTGGGCGTACCTGGGCGGGAACGGGAGGGGAAGTGTAATTCTTCCCGTCCCTCTCCCCCCTCCCGGTCGCCCACGTCTCCCCGCGTCTTCTCCTAGGAGAAAAGGGGGAAAGGCGGTTAGTGGCCGCATGACCCCTGCCCATACAACTGTAGCAGTGTGAAGGCGGGGGGCCTAAGACTTTCACTCGAGTCAGGCTCCATCCCACCTTCAGAACTTCCCCTTCTGCCACCTTTTTTATTTTTAGGGTTCCGTACCTCAAAAGGAAAAACGGAACCCTTATAGGATCACTTTGTTGTCCGTCTGTCCGTCCGTCCGTCCGTCTGTCAAGACCCTTTTTCTCAGGAACGCGTGGAGGTATGAAGCTGAAATTTATATCAATTACTCAGGTCTACTGTCCCTTGAAGCTGTGAAAAAATCAAACTTCTAAGCCAACGCAATCAAAAGATACAGCCGTTTATGCCGCAAATTTTCGACACTTGCAAGGGAATCAAAACCTACAGGGTGCTTCCCGTGAACTCAGAATCTTGAAATTTGGTACCAAGCAACTTCTTATAGCATAGATAAAGGAAAAATTACGAAAACTATAAATTTTTAGTTACATCACATAATATATTTTTTTTTAATAATTTTAACCTTACTACCCATTTCCTCATAAACGCGTAGAGGTATTAAATTGAAATTCATACCAAATACTCAGGTCTATAATACCTTTAAGCTGTAACAAAATCAAACTTCTATGTCAACGCAATCAAAAGAAACAGCAATTTAAGCTGCATATTTTGAAACTCGCAAGTACTCGCAAGGGAATCAAAACCTAAAGGGTACTTCCAGTCGACCTTTCTAGGTGACCTTTCTTGAAATTTGGCATGAAGCAACGTTTTATAGCACACATAAAGGAAAAATTCCGAAAACCTTAAATTTTTAGGTACATTACAAAATATATATTTTTTAATAAATATAAACTTATTACTTTTTTCCTCATGAACGCGTAGAGCTATCAAGTTGAAATTCATATCAAATACTTAGATCTAATTGCCTTTAACCCGTGAAAAAAAAAAAAAAAATCTAAGTCAACGCAAAAACGCAAAACGCAAAAGTACAACCATTGATACCGCATATTTTGAAACTGGCAACTACACGCAAGGAAATTAAAACCTAAAGACCACTTCCCGTTGACATAGAATCTCGAAATTTGGTAAGAAGCAATAGCTTACAGCACAGGTAACAGAAAAATTCCGAAAAGCTTAAAATTTTAAGTAGTTATACCACCAAAAAAATTGTGATTGTAAACATAATTGTAGTTACAGCAATGACCGCGAGTGCGATACTATGTATGGGGAGGGCAACATTTTTCAAACGGCAAAGACGACCTCACTCATCGTCATTCAATCCCGATGTTTTGGTGAATGTAGCTGTATAATCTAAATGCGTCCTAACTGCTTAAAGTGTTATACTTATAATTAAATTCAATGACATTATTATATTTCTTATTGTTGGTTATTATCAGACAGCTTGCTTGTATTGTTTCTACTGGCGAAGTTTGATGGGACGCTGGTGGCACGGGAGGCACGCGGGGCGCTTAATTAATATTTTTGAACCAGATTTCTAAATAGTGACTAAAAAACTTAGTAAATAAATAACTTTAATAAAAGAACTTTCGCAAGTCTGCTGCAAGGCTAGTATAAGTGTTTCAGTTATAGATAAATGATATGTGTTAATATAAAATAAAGGATTACTTAAACGATAAAGAGATCTTTGTCTTAAATTTATGCTCCTCCATCTTTCCCCATTGTACTGTTATGAATTTCATTTTGCAATAAAAATACCATAGTTATGACTCGATTGTCGTAATGAACGAACTTTGTAAACCTTGCAGGTTTGTACGGAACCCTCGGTGCGCGAGTCCGACTCGCACTTGGCCGGTTTTTTATTTTATTATTCTATTTTCTTCGCTTTATTAAAATGGTCTGGGTTATTTTGTTTGTTTCTTATATGTGTTTTTAACTGTTTTGTCAGATCCAGTCCCGGGGTGACGCTATTCCATACGTACCCGGGGGCTGGGGCTGAGGGATGGCTGCAGCGCTGCTCCTCCTTCGTCTCCTCTTCGAGCGGCTGCTGCACAAATGGATGGAGCACTGTTTCTCCTAGCCCTGGTTCTGCGAGTAACACCCTGGTGGGAGGGGGCGGGGCAGGATGAGGGTCTGCCATAAAGGTGGAGGGATTTGGTGCCGGTGAAGCGAGGTGCAGAGAATGGGCCTGGTCAGCGGTGACAGAGGTAGGTAGGCTCGCCCGTTGGAGTCGCTCAATTCGCTCCCAAATCCGGATGGCCACGCGGTTTTTCGTCACTACTGTTCCCGTCGCAGTTGGGCCCATCCCAGTCCCTAGTACCGGCCGCTGTCCTCCGACGTCTGGCGACCATCGCCCTTGCCCCTCCCATTACTGGGATTGTAACTAGCTTGCAGGGTAGGGGGGTGCAGTGTCCATGCTCCTATTAATTCTCCAAGGTACATGTTTTAATCTACGTATTTATCTGTATTGTGATGTTAAATTCTGCTACACTGCCCTCTAATAATCTACCTCAGAGCGCAGGGGAAGCAATGAAAGAAAACCAAGAAATTAAAATAATGCTATAATTATATTTTACCAACTATAGATTTTAAAGAAGATTAATACAGTAGTTCTAAGTTCTAGTTTATATGAATTGCCAAGTTGACATGAAAAGTTATAACTATATTTTACTAACCATAAATGTCACAACGAGGTTGAATACAGTAATTTTAATGTTAAAGTTTATACAAATTCCCCAGTGGGCAAGAAATGTTATAACTATATTTTACCAACTATAACTATCCTAACTAAGCTGAATATAGTAGTTTTAAAGTGAGAGTTTATATAAATCACAAGTTAGCATGAATCTTAGAATTATATAAACATCAGACATTCATAACAATCTACCATGTACTTACATAAGTTCTTAAACTATATCTAATATATTTTACCCACTCTGCAATGGACTGTCCATTGAGAGACCACGAAGACTAGACTTAATAAGCTATTTAGTGGATTTCAGAGGTTCTACGGCTCGTTTGATCGATATTGGTGATAAACTTAGTTAATTATAGTTCTTAGTGAGACAACCAGTTATATAGATATACTAGCTGACTCGGCGAACTTCGTACCGCCCAAAAGTAATAATTTGCAATAAATTAAAATTGCGACTATAATTTGAGATTTAAACTATCCTATCTCTCAAGTTGGATCGACTGCACATGGTGTGCGAATTTTATTATAATCGGTTCAGTGGTTTAGGAGTCCATTGAGGACAAACATTGTGACACGAGATTTATATATATTAAGATATATATAGAAAGGGGTAGGTAGGGGTCCCACCTCGCCTTGTGGTACCTGCGCCACGCTCACCCAGGGTTAGTTAGACAAAATACCTTGTTTAGGATAAGTTTAGCAGAATCCACCAGGAGTAGGGAGGCGGCCTGGTGGTGCGTCAGCCTCTCCTGCGCTATGACCTGCGCAGCATCGCCGTGAGCAGGGATGAAG